AAATAAATTTATTAATACTTCTCGACCCCATCTAAGCGCCACGTAATTCCCGCCCAAGCGCCTAATATGGGTGTGTTTATTTATAAATAAACTCAATCCATACTCGATTCATACTCAAAATTTAATTCAACTTTAACTCAAACTCACGATTCTCAATATTATCAATATAATTAAATAATATCAATCAATTTTTACACTTTACATCGACTTTAATTAAATATTCATTTACTCACATAATTTTAACTAACTATCACTTCACATCATATTTATCTCACTTTTAAATCAAATAAAATTTCATTATTTATTTTAATTATTATTTTAATATAAACTCAAACATCAAATAAAATTAATTATTTATTTTAAATATTATTTTAATATAAACTCAAAATCTCATTAACAAATAATAATATTATATTTTTAAAAAAAAAAAAAAACAAACTCATTTTAACATATATATTTGTATCCAAACATGCTCTAAACTCCTATCCACCAATCGACTTTTAAAATATTGGAATACTATGATTGTATACATTGTGAAATTTGCCCCATACCGTGGCTGATGAGGTTTCGGAACACGATTTTTGCGGCTAAATTCGTAACGTGAATAGTAGTTAAAGTTGCTACGATCCCATCCAGCCGTTGAATTTCTGTAACCAATTGGCGTTTTTACGGCTAAATTCGTAACGTGAATAGTAGTTAAAGTTGCTACGTTACCATCCAGCCGTTGAATTTCTGTAACCAATTGGGTTACACTGCGCAATCGCAGGAAAAGTGACAAATATATAATAAATCTATTTTGCTACTCCACTTTATTAGTATCTAAAATAATAAAATTGGCAACCTCTACAAGTCTTGGGTCAGTTAATTTTTGGAGTATTAAATTGGTTTAGATCAAGAATAGAGTAAAAATAAAGTAAAACAAACGAGAAGGAAATCATTGCAGGGTACTTAATTCTTGTGCCTCTAGTTATTACATTAAATATGAATATATTACTTACATATATAACCAAATTTTATACTTCTACAATCTCACTTGTTTTCAAGTATCATGAAATAATTAAAAACAAAAATAACTAAGATAGTTATATCAAGATATTTAAATTTTGAACATACTACACTCTTCAAATGAACAAGACTGCTTAGAGTAATTCTAATGAAGCGCTACATCAGACTCTCTAGGTGAACCGCTGGAATAAATCGGTTGCAATGAACCAGTCAAAAACCGGTTAGAACCAACCAAAAATCGATTCAGCCGGTTAGACCAGTTGAACCAGTCAAATTTTTTTTAGATAAATTTTAATATATTTAAAATATTTTAATATCTATAAAAAATAAATATATATTTCAATATAAATATAATGGATGTATATAAGTTATTATTAGTTATTTTAAGTATTTGATAGTCTTAAATTGGCCTAATATTTAACTAAACAAAGTTTTATATATAATGATATTATATAAAAAATTATATATGTTTAAAAATATTAATAAATTAAATATCGGTCCAATCGGTTCAACTATTGGTCAGACCAGTAAACCATGAATCAGTAGCTTGACCGATTCAATGGCCGGTCCGATTTTCACAACCTTGCTTACGAAGTGAGCAATTTATCACTGGTTCTAGGGCAATATTGTTTCAATATCACCACATTTTGTAGGAATTTTTCTTATCTCTTTGGTTACTTATGTAATTTTTTCCTTGCACAAATATTATTGTGAGCTTTTTTATCCGTGGATCTGTTTCCTTTTTTGGTTCTTTCTAGGTTTTTTCCTTTTTTTTAATCATTTTCTTCCAACCAGTTTCATTTTTTTTGTTTTCTTTTTTCCTATTTTTCTTTATATTTTTAATATTGCAAACCCAACACATAAATTTAATGTAGGTATAGATATTTTTTAATCCAATTTTTTTAATAATATAGTGATATTTAATATGTGTAGACTAATACATCTAACTAAATTATATTTTAACTTTAGACTTAATATAAAATAATAAAAATAAAATTGCATATTTCATACTGAGTAAACTATCGTACGGACAACTAGAAGGCTAATTCGATGCAACATGTAGGGGCATTGTCCCCACATTCTTTTTTTACCATTGACATGTGGCACAGTCGCATTAAAATTTTCCAACTAGAGATTGAAACTTAATTTTTGTTTTACTCTACAATAAAATAAATTTTGCGCTATAATAGAAATAATGGCTTAAAATAGCATAATTATAAGCACGACCTTCGAGAGTATGAACTAAAGCCCACGTGAGTTTAAATTAAAAATAATTGCTAGCCAACGAAAACGAAACATTTTAGTGTGTTATTGAAATATTTAGACAGTCCACATAACAAAGGCTAATAATTTGATAAAAATGTTTTGTCACTAATGGACCATAGTCAACATATAAATGTCTATCATCAATTATTCAATTAATTAATTTGAATTCATTATTGGCCAACTGGTTTTGCAGTACAGACCGAATTAGTTTACCTACTCGTAAGCGTTGGGGAAGACATAGATGCATGCTATTTATTTCATGCAAAAGTTTGTAAATATTGTATTGGTGGATAGAAAATATATATGAAACTAATAAATAATTAATATTATATATGTATTGTAAAATGTTTTTTTTTTCATTACATTAAAACATACTTCATATAATTTGGTCGTTGCTCTCTTGATTTAGAATTTACACATTTTTCATCAACTTTTGTATTTTGGTTTTCTATATGACGTTTTATTAAGTTGTAACATGGGTTTTGATTACATAATTGCAACTTACATTTGACTGGCAAATATCTATTGTTTCTGCCGTTTGCAGATGCAATAAAAGGAATGCTTATATTTCATTTTTATATTTAAACAACTTCAGTTTCATATTAATAGACTATGTATGTAGAATTGATACTATAATGATTAAAGTAGTCATACCTAAGTAGAGTTGTTAAACGAAACGAGCTGCTCGAGAGCTCAATTCGACTTGTTTGATCAACAAGCTGAGCTCGAACTCATTTAAAACATGTTTTGTTAATGAGTCGGGGTCGACCGACTCGATAACTCAAAAAGAAAATTTTTATACTATTTTGTATAGTTTGACTCGTTAAAACTTGATATCGGCTCATTAATATTGATAAACAAGTCGAGCTTGAGCTTGATTTATGGTTCATTTACTTTACAAGTTGAGTCAAGTTCAGCTCGTTAAGGGCTCGAACACCCTAGGCTCGAGTTCGATCTCGATTCGGCTCGTTTACAGACATATACCTAAGTATATATAACAAACATAAATAAGAGAACTACTACTATTTGACTCAAAAGATATTTTATATTTGTAAAACAAAAAATACCTATTTTTCTAGTATATTCTACTACGGATCTAGATTACGCGTTATTTAAATCTTTAATTTAAAGATTGATAGTTCTCATTGAAAACTGTGTTACAAGAAAAATAAAAACACAATTATTTTAATTAAGAAATAAATACAATGTCATACTGATACAATGAGATATAACTAATAATCATAAATTAAAGAACTCTACATTTTCATGTGAAGTGTGAAACTATTAGTAATAATATATGTTGCTTAGCTAGTAAAATGCATTCAACTATGGATGACAGGACAAGTATAGTTACTCTATAAATGAAGCGCCAAACTTGATTTGAACATATCTAGAAATTTGTTTAATTTTAAAAAGTAAAGTCAAACAGAGACATTGCCTCGTAAAATGTGTTGTAATAACAAAATTAATCAGATTATGTTTCCCACGCAATCAACAAGACAAATGCAAACATGTTTCTGCAACTTCTACATTAATTGACATCTGCTTATGGGTCAAACAATTTAAATTGTACATTAGTAATTTGTTTTTAGTTAAAAGTATAGTTGTGGTTTTATTTAATTTATAATCTCAGCTATGCGCATTGGTTGAGATAATTTATATAGAAAAATGCTACAAATACATAATAAATAAACAATATTAATAAACCGTCTTTTAAAAATTACTCATAATCATTTATTTAAATCATTTATTTTACATGAGGACCCTTTCTTTCCTTTAATCATGGTACGATCTCTAATCAATGAGATAATTGCTACTTTTGAGATGGCAATTAAATTATGTGTCCAGTTTGACCTAATCCAACGCATCTATAGCTGTAAAAGATAGCATAGGGTCCTAAAAATTTAATTATAACAAGTGAGGAAAAATAAATCGTAGTTAGTGAACTATAAATGCATTAACATTTTATTCTGCATTAACATTTTATTTCCTTAAAAGAGGGTGATTGGCTGTTAGATCGTGTTTCAATCTGTGTTTCAATCTTTATTTTAGCAGAGAATTTCATAGTACTGATACATATTTCCAGAAAAATTGATGCATTTCCACATACAATTTTATTGTACTGACTACTGATAACCAGAAAAATAAGCAGACTGGCTGTGAAGGACTGAAGAAACAGATGTTCAATAATTAGGAAAATCCCACAGTTAGAAACAAAAAAGTCATATAATGTAAGTTTCGAAATTGCAAACCATAAAATACCATTCAGGCATTTCAGCAAACAATTAAGCATCATCATAAGTATCTTCCATCTCCTAGAAATTTTACTGNCATGCAGTTACAGGTACTATAATGGAATGCAAACAAAAACAACAAAAGCACATCAGAAAAGCATAATCATCTCGACAAACAAGACATTGCCGTTCATTTTTCAGAGGGTGAACTTAAGATGAGAGAATGAGATTAACCATTTTCTCAGTTCAGGAAAATGAGAGAAAATGACATAATAATTTGTGGGACTGTAGATCTGGCAAACTATTGTTTCATTGTAAGAGATTGAATGTTCAGCAAAATTACTGTAAGAGATTGACGGTTCAGCAGAAATTAAAAAAAATATTGTGACTGATACTTGAAAAATAGCAGGTCGTAGGTTATGCTCATATTAAAGTTATTCATGTGGAACACGAGATATGATATATCCCAAAACTTAATTACATGTCCAAATTATTGTTATAATAAAACCAAATATAATCAACATTTGTCTTTAATTATCTCCAAAACATTTCCTAAAGCAAAACATAAACCATATCTCAAGTCCTGCCGGAAGGACACATCAGTTACAGAAAGGAAAAGCTAAGAATGGCATCAAACAGACAAAGTTTTGAAGACATAAAAGTTAGGACAAATAAATACAATACAATAAAATAAAATAAGAAGATTACATCATTGCCTCTGCAAAGATACAAAAGTTGCTGCATCCTAAAACACAATCGATTTTCTTCAATTGACAAAAACAGAGTCGATATAAACTACGCCGTTCAAATGACTATAAGCATGGCCCGCCCTAAAAGCACAGGAGTAGCAATGGAAAAACTTTAAGCTTTATTACTAGAGGAATAGGACCACAAAAACAAGTGTCTTATTTCCGAGGCTGCTTCTTCTTTAGCTTCTTCTTATGGCGCACGTCTAAGCTTTTGGTGTTTGTGACGAGACGAATGTTGAACCTTGACATGAGGAGGCAGAACGAATCAAAATCCGTTTTTCGCAAGTACTTCATCAGCTTCTTCCTTCTCTCTACCATCAAATGTAGGCCATGCAGAGAATGCTTGTCCTAAACAACAGTTAGCCAAAAACACAACTGAAAATTTGAAATACATTCACACTTTCAATAAAGTCACCGCATGGAAAAGCATCTATTGATTGGAATTTGGAAGATACTTCTAAGTTCTAAATTCATGAATGAGCTAACCTTTTTCGATAGAACATTTCCGAGATGTGTAATCTTTGTACTCAGCTGAGCTACTGCAAAAGGGCAGTACACCATCTCAGTGGTTGAATAGAGAAATGTTGTGGCCAAGTAAATATTACAGCATATACATTTAGACGCATCAAAGAGCGAAACAGAGAGACAAAAAATTCCATACATCAAAATGGATCAGAAGATATAAAATTGAGATATGTTAAGAGAAGAAAAAAGAAAATGAAAAAATATATAATTTTTTTTAACTGAATATGCAACTGTTTTCTCACTTGAAACACATTAGTAACGAGAATGTCACGTGGTACTGTGGTAGTCACACATACAGATGCTGCAATAATGAAGTTTCATGTTCGTAAGGGTTTATATTTGTTTTTAAGGTATGTTAATTTCGGCCTCTCTAGAAAGAGTCTGTCGGTAAAAAAATAAAGCTTTTTCGTCACTGAAACTTATATCCTACTGAGAGCTAATTTAACTGTTCAATTCTTACCGACTAGCCAAAAAATGCACCAGTTCGACGATAAATAGAATGGGCTGATAATAGCAACCTAATTCTTATCTATTGAACATGTCGTTTATCTACAGTTTCAGTTCAGAAATTGGCCCTAAATATGTTCTGTTAGACGCTGGCCCTAAATATGATATGAAAACTAAAATGCTTTGTGGCATCATTGATTCAATTATTCCAATATCAAAATACAGAGTTTGAGCTGAAAAAACTTCACCCTGAACACGAGCAGAACCACAATCCGACTCTGAAATTTTGTATTCGTCTCTTACTTTCTTCAGCTCCAGCTTCAGTTTCTCAGCAGACGACATGTTGTCCGGATGAAAATACTGCAGAAGATTCGAATATCATCTCACATGAACATTAACAGATAATTAAGCAGCATTATCTTGTTTCCATATACAAATCTTTTATATTTTGAACTGTGATACATGGTTCAAATTGTGGCTTTCACACAAGGATGAGGTCAAAGCAAGAAAGCAACACTTGCCTTCTCAATTAAGTGGTCCTTTGGAGGATGCATCATGTAGCTCGGTGTCCCACCTATGTGACCCAGAATATCAAGTGTCTGTGCTGAAACAGCTGATATTATGATCAAAGATATCAGGTAAGTAAGAAACATTAAGATAGCTTCATAACTAATATATATACTGCGTAGTAAAACTGGAATCCTTTATCCTTTTCATCAGAAACAATGGCACAGGAGTGATATCAACAAGTTTGACGCACGAAATGCAAAATCAACAGCAGAGAACATCTCTGAAAAATAAGAAAGAAAAGAAAAGATATCCAATTTTGAGGAAGACATTGTATTATGATTCGGGCAAAAGATCATCTTCCCTGTAATTGCTGGATCCATATGATAAGTGGTTTCTTTGTTATCCTTTTCAATATCTAGACAATATTTCTTAATGGATCATGGATCATATTTTTAAAAACTTTTACCATGTATTCATGTTCCTTAGACAACTCCCAACTGCTTCTTCAAGGAAACAAACTATCACCTTTTATTGTCAAAATACTATGGACACACTTATGACAACAAACTAGAGTATGTTCAGTTCAAATGGTTATGAGCTAGTTGATATTGCTCAAGCATCTGTTCAACGAATTTAACGAGCAGCAAGTGGAGAGCAAAACCTGAAAACTCTAACAGCAAATATTCTAATTCTTAACAGCCATAGACCCATGCCAAAGCAAAAGACCATTCGATAGACAAACTTTGAAATTGAAAGTAATATGGCTTACCATTTCCCTTCTTCTTGCCATCCATCTTGGAAACCACATCTCTTAATTCCGATAAGGGGATGCCTACGATCTCTGTATTGTCCTTCTTCTCAATCTCCCTCAGCTTGGCAAGCCTCTCGTTCAACTCATGCAAGGAGAACCAGCTCCCCTTCTTCTTCTCCGGTCTCAACATCTGTAGCTTGGCCCCGAGCTCTGAATAATTGTACATCTTGACAAACTGGGTCCTCATAGTTTCATCATCTTCCCCGCTCTTGCTCGCCAACTGCTGGGTGAAAGAGGCCAGACCATCACTAACCCCGCTGATTGGGAATTCATGGTCTGCCTTCTCACCGGGCCTCAGCTTGAGGCTTTCCTTGAAACGAGACAGTGACAGTTGATCCGTCCCAGGAGAGGAGGATCGAAGATGGCGGAGGCTCTCGCGTATGGGTGCAAAAATGGAGCCTGTGGGAGGTTTTACCCCGTCGGAGTCCGCGGTGTTGGGAATCGCGTGCCGGTTGTAGAGCTCTTGGAGAGATACGGACGGACCGGAGGCGGAGGCGGTGTTTGAGGACGATGGTGGTGGCGACGGTGCGGAGCGGCTGCGAAATTCGGAGAGGTTGCGACGGATTTCTTCCAGATAGGCAACTCTCGACGGGGGTGTGCTCTGAGGAGTAGGAGAAGAGGGATGCGGCGAGTTGGAAAACGAGAGGGGTTTGCGGAGCGTTTGGGGGCGGCTTTGAGGCTGAGGTTCCCGTTGGAGAGAGGCTTTGACGTCGCTCAGGTAAGAGGAGAGCGAGGGTTTGGGTGGCGATCCGGGTTGATGTTCGGGTTTGGGCTCGGAGGGAAGGTCAGTGTCGGAGGAGGAGGAGGAGGAGAAATGGCGGAGAGGATACTGGTGGTGGCCGTGCGCCGGGCGGAGTCGGATGAGGCGCGGAGTGATCACCGCCATGAGTGGTGGCGGGGTGAGTGGAGCTCGATGATTTAGGTAGGGTTCTGAGGAGGTGCCGGCGAAGTAGTCTGCAGGCTTATTGCCCCTTTAGATTTGGGCTTTCACTTAGGGCTTGGCTTTACTTGTTAGCACTAGAAATATTGTATTATCCGCGTTTCTGTAATAATTTCTTGGAGATAAAAAAAAAAATAAAAAGATAATAGTTTTAGGTTGCTTTATTGTTTGGTAAGTTGGTATTTATTTGGTTGGTATGAGTAGGGCTGCAAACGAGTCGAGTTGATTCGAGCATTGGTCCTATTGAGCAGGATTGAATTTTTTTCTTTTAGCTGCTTGAGCTCGACTCAATAAAAAAATACAAGAGCTCGAGCTCGGCTCGAGCTCGACTCGAATTCAAAATACTCGAGCTCGGCTTGAGTTCGGTTCGAATTTTTTCAAGAAATTTTGTAAAATAACCATTAAATACTGATATAGGATATTATATACTAGACCAGTCTTAAAGGACAAGAGAAGAATATATTGAAGAAATGCCTACACATGGCTAGGACACGTGGCACGATGCTATTGGGCAAGCCCAACTTGGGCCATAAGGTACACTCCCCCTATAAAAGGGGGCTAAGGTATCCCATTCGGACACTCTCTCTACATTCACAATTATACTCTTGGGATTTGGAGTGGTACTGACTTGAGCGTCGGAGGCCCGACGCCGGGACCCCTCCCGGCGTTGGGTTCTTGCAGGTCTGGTGGCCGTTCGAGTTGAGGGAGCCTGGGTGAAATCTTATTCACTTCATTGGCGCCGTCTGTGGGACCCGTTAAAAAATCCAAACAGAGTTCCGACCGAAAAATTCGAGAAATCTTCTAGCAAGCTCCTTCTTCTCCACCGGCCGCCGCCACCGTCGTCGCCGCCGGCCGCCACCCTCACCGCCGGTCGCCGGAAAATGTGCTCCGATCGGAAAATTCTTTACGTCATTGGATAGATCTCTACGAGTTGGATCTCCCCTTAAAATTTCATGCGAAAATTCCTCCGGGAAGGCTGTCGATTTTGTGGTCAAAGTTTCCAGATCTAGCAGAAAATTAGTCAAAATCATACATTCAAAGGCGTTTTCCGGACAATCCGGGAGGGCTATGAAAAAACCGAGGGTACCACCAGAATCCTCTCGGCGAGACGAATCTCCAGCTACCAACCTTTGCCGGAAGTCGCCGCTGCCGCCGCCGACCGCCGACCAAAGTTGTCCGATCGTAAAGATCTTTGCACCATCGCGAAGCTCTCCTTGTGCTCGTTCTACCCTCAAAATATCAAGCAAAAATTCCACCGGGAAGGCCGTCAATTTTACGGTCAAAGTTTTTGGATCTAGGGAAAAATAGTCAATCTCCGGTCATCTCTCCCAATTTTTCGGTCGATTTCAGGCGTACCACCTCGAACTGACGGCACCACCGGATTCGACTCGTCGAGGCGCGCCACTCCGCCAGTCATTACCTCCGGAGCTGGCAAGGGATTTTCCGGCAACAATTCCGACTATTTTCGCTGGAGTATTGTGTGGGTCGAGCATATCTGCTCCCAGCTCGACAGCAACCCGCGTAGGATGGCGGAGCCCAGGTGTAAGCCCAACGTCTGCCAGGCCCAGATCCGGCCCGCGAGCGCCCCACTTCCCCTGCTGCCTTAAAACCTGCCCAACCCGCTTGCACACGGCCCAACTAATGTGCCCACGGCCCAGTTCGCCCAAAGCCCAACGAGGATGAGAGTGAAAATCACGCGGGCCGCGTCCAGCCCGCGCGGCCCGCACGCCTCACAACCCGCGGCCCGCGTCCCAGCCTTGCTCTCAGCCCGCGCCTCTCTCAGCGCCAGGCCCGCGAGAGCCCGCGTCAAGCTCTGAATTTGGCCCAGCGATAAGCCCGCGTCCTGTAGCCCGTCTGCCCAGCCCATTACGCGGCCCAGCGCCCTATATGTGGCCCAATTGATGTTAAACCTCCTCCAGCAGCTCAGAATAGCACCAGCTCGAGCCCAGGTGGGCTAGCTCGAGCCCAGACCGGTCCAGAGGGTCCGGAAGCAGTCCGAACCGGCCTAGCTTGACCCAATAGCTATTTCTCGATCACATGGCGAATTCGGGACGATTTGACGCGGACGAGCAGGTAATTTGAGATAGAATTCTCGAGGTGGAGGTATGTCCTTAATTTAAATTTTGAGGCCGGAGAATTTTTAAATAAGTGAAAAGTGGAGGAATTATTTGGAGAGTGGACTAATTTATTCATGGAGAATATATTCGATTTAGTCGTGCAAATTGATTTATTTGTGGAGTAATAGTGGAGTTGTTTGTGGAGCATTATTCAATTTGTTCGAGGAGAATTATTTGATTTCCTCGAGATATTATTTGATTTATTCGTGGTGATATTCTATTTGCTCGAGAGAAATTATTTGATGCGCTCGAGGAATTATTTTATTTATTCGCGGAGATATCTGATTTATTTATGGAGCATTATGGGATATATTCGTGGAGTTTATTTGAAATATATTTGTGGAGAATATTTGATGTATATGCGGAGCGCATTTGTTACATTCGTGGAGATTATTTCACTTATTTGTGGAGATAGGTGATTGGTTCGAGGAATTATTAAATTTAATCGTGCGAACTATGTGATTTATTCGTGGAAAATCGTGTGGTTTGATCGTAGAACTATTTGATTTGCTCATGGAAGAATTGTTCGACTTATTTGTGGATATATTATTTGATCTATTGGCGGAGAACTTACTTGATTGAAAATAAATGCGGGTCGTAATGTTGAGTTGGAGATATTTAGCGAGTATTTTATCGTGTGCGTGGTGCATTTATCGGTGGACTCGAGGAGGTGAATTAGGATGATATGATTTGATATCTTGATATATTCAGAGTCTCTTATTTGGATTTTTATGTGAAAATGTGAAATTTTGCTTGAATTGATTATTCATAATATTTAAACATGTCATTGCTCGAGCATGTCTTAAATCGAGGATATGGTGATGATTGTATTTGATCTCTTATTTTTATTGCGTGGAGAATTGCGAAATAGATGGCGTGAATATAATATGGATAACGATATCTCTTTGAATTCTTGTCGAGGAAACATCGAAATAACCCGAGCCTCGACAAGCTATGGTGGACGAGTTGTGGAGTTTCGAGAACAAAATGAGCGAGCGTGGATCCATCAAAGCAGGGTGATAATGAGGGACGAGTCTAGACGGTGCCGATCGCAGATGGCAATTTCAGAGGCAGAAATCATTCTCTTTTGGAGAGGTAGGATAATTGGGAGTGACATGCTCGACCTTCAGGTATAAAATTAATCTCAACTATGGTCGGTGGTCAAGATCGACTGACACTATTTTGTGACATATGGAGTCCATTAGCATTCTTTTTTGGGAGGAATGTTCATTGTTTGGATATTTTGGGTGAAATGTTGCTGAAATCGTGGTGTATGTGGATATGTCTGGAATTATTATTTGGGTGACTAACAAAATGCAGAAAATGAGGTGTACGTGGAGCCTCGAGCAAAATCTGGCACGACTAAGGCTTTCGGGCTGGCCAGTCTTGAGTTGTCATGACTAAGGAGCTCGGTATTGAGCATAATTCATTCGAATTTTTGTTTGGTGCATTCTTTTAATGATTGTTTATAGCTGCAGAATATGGTTTATTGTAACTGTATGCGGAATTCATGACTTTGTGGTATTTTGGTCGACTGTACATTTGAGTGGGTGTTTATGCGATTTTATACCGTGGTAGAGATTTGTATGTAGATTGAGGCGTGGTATAAATGAACGTGGACCAGTGTGATTGCCTTGATTTATTCGTCTTTTGTCATTATTGCTATCGGAATTGCAAATGGGATGGTGTGGATAAAATGCAACTAATGGAATTTGTTGAATTCTTGCTGAGAAAAATGCATGAGCAGGTGAACCGGATATTGGTTATGGAGGGAAAAGCATGGACTAAACGACAAACGCGGGTCGTCATGTACAAACAGGAAAGGGAGGTCGAAAAATGTATTTGTTTTTTTTTATATATCTTGTTCGATATAACTATGCATCTGATGGGACTAATGAGAATGGTCAATTACTATTCTATCTTGTGGTGTTTGGTATGTTTTCTTGTCGACCTCAGTGGCAGGTCGAAGTGTTCGAGCAGTTCGAAGAAAAAAAATCCACCATGACTAAGGCCTCCGGGCTGGGTGGTCGCTTGTTTTGTACACCCCTTGGGATGGGCAGGTTGGTCGAAATAGCCCTCGCCTTCGGGCTGGGTGGCCTCCTGTTTCTGGAACATTCCTCGAATTGGGTGGGCAAGTGCCTGAAGACCAAAATCCACCATGACTAAGGCCTCCGGGCTGGGTGGTCACATGTAACGACCACTCCTTTGAGGGTGGACATGTGTTCGAAGACAAAAATCCACCATGACTAAGGCCTCCGGGCTGGGTGGTCACATGTAACGACCACTCCTTTGAGGCTGGACATGTGTTCGAAGACCAAAATCTACCATGACTAAGGCCTCCGGGCTGGGTGGTCACATGTAACGACCACTCTTTTGAGGGTGGACATGTGTTCGAAGACAAAAATCCACCATGACTAAGGCCTCCGGGCTGGGTGGTCACATGTAACGACCACTCATTTGAGGGTGGACATGTGTTCGAAGACCAAAATCCACCATGACTAAGGCCTCCGGGTTGGGTGGTCACATGTAACGACCACTCTTTTGAGGGTGGACATGTGTTCGAAGGCCAAAATCCACCATGACTAAGGACTCCGGGCTGGGTGGTCGATCCTAGTGTTGGGTCGGGAAGACATGGATTCTATTGGAGACCTCGGTGGCAGGTCGATTATCTTTATTTGATCCTCGGTTATGTCGAATTTATTTTTCGACTTCAAAAGAAGGGAGATGGAGTTCATTACGACTAGCTCGAGCAGACCTCGGTGGCAGGTCGATTATCTTTATTTGATCATCGGTTTCGTCGAATTTATTTTTCGACTTCAAAAGAAGGGAGATGGAGTTCACTACGGATAGCTCGAGCAGACCTCGGTGGCAGGTCGATTATCTTTATTTGATTCTCGGTTTCGTCGAATTTATTTTTCGACCTCGATGGCATGACGAGGGAGTTCATTCAGAGCAGTTCATGAAGGTCATTCGGATTTTGAGAGAATAAACAACAGGCTTGAATTTTAAATTTTGAACTGGGGGGCGATAGGACGAGGTGGTCTATGAGAGTTCGAATATGGTGATTGAAATACAACATACATAAGTTCAAATTTTCAAATTCAAGATTTTGGGGAACGGTCATTCAGTTCTTGTTTTTCGACCTCATCGGCGGGTCTCTTGATTTTCGACCTCAGTGGTCGATCAACTTTCGGTGTTCGACCCTAGTGGCGGGTCATTCAGTTTTCGACCTCAGTGGTCGATCAACTTTCGGTGTTCGACCCCAGTGGCGGGTCATTCGGGTTTCGACCTCGGTGCTCGATCAATTTTCGGTGTTCGACCCCTGTGGCGGGTCATTCGGTCTTCGACCTCGGTGCTCGATCAATTTTCGGTATTCGACCCCAGTGGCGGGTCACTCGGTTTTCGACCTCGGTGGTCGATCAGCTTTTAGTATTCGACCCCAATGGCGGGTCACTTGGTTTTCAACCTCGATGCTCGATCAACTTTCGGTATTCGATCCCAGCAGCGGGTCACTCGGTTCTCGACCTCGGTAGTCATTCAACTTTCGGTGTTCGACCCTGCGGCGGGTCTCTTAGTATTCGACCTCAGAGGCAGGTCTTTCAATATTCGACCTCAGTGGCCACCAGACCTGCAAGAACAGCCACCAGACCTGCAAGAACCCAACGCCGGAAGGGGTCCCGGCGTCGGGCCTCCGACGCTCAAGTCAGTACCACTCCAAATCCCAAGAGTATAATTGTGAATGTACAGAGAGTGTCCGAATGGGATACCTTAGTCCCCTTTTATAGGAGGAGTGTACCTTATGGCCCAAGTTGGGCTTGCCCAATAGCATCGTGCCACGTGTCCTAGCCATGTGTAGGCATATTCTTCAATATATTCCTCTCTTGTCCTTTAAGATTGGTCTAGTATATAATATCCTATATCAAATACATATATACACAAGGGATATTTTAGTAATTGTATATATCTCGAGCTGCTAGCGAGTCGCTCGACAATGCAAAACATGGGCTCGAGCTCGGCTCGAGTTCTTGCTCGAGCCGCTCGAGCCAGACTCGAGTTCGGTCAAACCGCTCGCGAGCTGCTCGACTCGTCTGCAGCCTAGCGTATGAAAATAAGTTTGTATAGCCTATATGAGTAAAAAATGATAATTAGACTATAACTATAATTGTGATAGTTGGTAAATCATAAAAAGTTGTGATAACTTGATTTGTGAAGTATAGGTGTAATTCACCTACAATTCAAAGTAAAGTGAATAGTTGGTNCTAAAGAACACTTATAAAGAGTTTTGCATATCAATGTTGTATAGATCATTGCTATGAATATAATTAAACAAATAAAAAAAAAATGTACACAAAATTCAAAAATCACAGTTGTGTAAATAAAAACGCAACATATACTGAAAATGTATTATCTATAAACTCAACATATACTGGTCATTCTATATTCCCTAAATATGTTCGTTACAATACTTCTCCTACTTATAAACCAAATATAAAATTAAATTTTCGGTGTAGTGGACTAGGACAATTTTTTATATTCTTTTACATACTGAATAGCACTTATAAAAAGTTTTGCATATCAATGTTGTAGATATTATAGGTATAAAAATATGTAAAAAATATAAACAAATAATATAAACAAAATTCAAACATCAAAATTGTGTAAATAAAATCGGAACATATACGACAAAAATACTGTTTATAAACTCAACATATTATGCTCATTCGAAATTCCCTAAAATATGCTCACTACAGTACTGCTCGTACTGTTCTTGCAATTGTTTCAACCTTGCACCTCCTTCACCGACGATATAACCGTCAGCGACACCGTAGCCAGAACCGTCGGCCCCTCCAACGTCACCCTCACCAACACGCTCGCGTTGAGCCGCCAATCATCCACCTGATCGAGAACGATTTCTCAATCCGTCGGCCCCTACCAGAAATAATGTCGGAATTCTTTTGGCCGACCTTCACGTTGTAGGTGAAGGCCTTGGGCTTGCGGCCGTTGGACGAGCCACATATTTGATGTACCGTCTCCGATAAGCCACTGCTCCAGGTCCGTGCGTTGTGCATTGCACCACCGTGGGATGAGCGTAGTCCGCAGATCCACGTTGTCCATGTGTCGCGCATCGCACCACCGTGGGCGAGCTAGTTCGTCGATCCGGCTGAAAATCGTTGGAGTCGGGGGGTTGGATTTGGCCGTAACGAAAATAAAGTGGGTGTTTGATGGGGTAGTGGTTGAGAGGCGATGGGCGCATAAAGGGGGACGTTTTTTTACTTGATAATTCAATATCATACTGAATATGTTTTGTCTAAAAATAAGTATTTAATTGTGTTAATAGATTTTGATATTAGTGCAAATAAAACTTAAATATTTAGTATATCTGCTAATAAATATTTAGTGCTTGTTTGGGAGCACTTCTGAAAAAGTCCATTTAAGATATGGACTTATCCAAAATGGACTTCTCCAAAAGTCTCAATTATTTACTTATACAAAATGAACTTTTTGGAGAAACAACTTATTCATAAGTCCATTCATTATTTAACACCAAACATAAATATTTATTCAAATGGACTTTTGGATCCAAAAGTCCATTTGAAAAGTGTTTCCAAACAAGGCCTTAGTATATCTGCTAATAAGTTCATAATGCATGTTTGAATGCAATTAAAAATTTAAAAAAGTTCATAATGCATGTTTGAATGCAATTAAAAATTCAAAATAGTGTCCTGCGTGAGGTAAATTCCTTTAAATATAACCCAAGTTTCATATGCCATGGACCGTTTCCAAATGTAATCTTGCTCCACACGTGTTAACATAAAATTAGGTCCAACACTAACTGGTGTAATTTTTGAAGCCCATTGCCGAAAGAAAGCCACCGTGCGTGAGAGCGTTGTGGTCATCATCTCGTAGCATTTTTGAAATAAAACAGACCATTTCAAACTCAAAGTCACGATTAAAGCTTCCTGTTTTAAGCGCTATATTCTTGATTTAAAAGATGCTAAATAATGATTTGGTAACAAGTTTTTGAATTTCTGTATATTTTCAGAAAGGGGAGAGTTGATCGACAAATTAAGAATGTCATACATGTGAATATATCATATGATGTCGATCCGTGTGAATATGAGATGATTGTCAATTATTTACATGTAACAAGTCTATATTAAAGAGCAGAGATTTCATGATATAATGTACAATTTAGATTTTTGTTTTCAAGAAAGTAGTACTAATGAGGAATCTCCTTTATGAATCACATGGTGCTTTAATTTTGAACGGTAAATCATGGTTCGTGAAAAATGGAAAAAAACCTTCCATCTTTTCTATAATATATTTTACTTTGATCATGCCTACAGTAAAATTGATACCTTCTAGGTCTATATAACAACATTATTAAGAGAGATGACAGTGAGTTCAAAATTTTTTCACAAATAATAAAAATTAGTGCAATATTCGTTTATTAAACGGGTGTTTGTTAAAAAATTTATATTTAAAACTAAAAATAATAATAAAAAAATTATTTTGATGATGTCGAGATGGTCAAGCTACATCCCAGGGATTCAGCGGCACCTGAGATGATGCCGAGATGGTCAAAGGATGGCGACAATTCACTCCCTGCCGACCACCCTTGGTGGGAGCCCGTTCTAGAGGTTGCCAAGGTGAAGGCTGGGCTAGCCGGGGAAAGTGATGTGGAGGGAGAGGAGACAACCTCGACCTAGTTGTACTTTATTATTCTTTTTGTCGTATGTAAAACAAAAATCTTTTATGTAATTTTTACCTTTCTAATGAATGTTGTGTTTTAAATCTGTTGAACATAATTTTCTTTGTTAAATGCATGCATGAAACATGTCTGAGCTCGAGATGCTTGTGTAGATCCAAGCTTTTTGCAGCTTACGTCCTTAGGCTCTGAGTACTCAAACTCGGTCCCGAGCTCTTAAGCTCAGGAATCGTTGTGGTGGGGTTCGGCGTACTTACGTCCTTAGGATCCGCGTACTCAGACTCGGTCTCGAGACCTCGAGCTTGGGAATCACCCTAGTAGGAGGTCGGCGTAAACATCCCTAGGCTCCGAGTACTCAGAGTTGGTCCCAAGCCCTCAAGCTTGAGAATCACCACAGTTGGAGATCGACATACTTACGTCCCTAGGCTCCGAGTACTCGAACTCGGTCTTGAGCCCTCAAGCTAGGGAATCGCCATAGTGGGAGGTTGGCGCACTTACGTCCCTTGGCTTCGAGTACTCGAACTCAATCTCGAGCCCTCGAGCTCGGGAATCTCCATGGTGGGGGTTGGTGGCCGTGTCCCCCCGGTTGCTTGGTCCTAATACTCAAATCTTGTTGATATCTGTTGTGCTCGATCATGCTCGTTTCTTCCTTGCCGATTCGACTTATTGTGCTCGGCCAACTATTGCGGTAGTCGTCCACGTATTTATTTTTTGCGACACGCAAACTCCATGTCACCAACTAAAGAAATTAAATGTATTTGGAGCTTAGGAGTACGTAGCCCATCATTGAAGTCAGAGTGTGGAAGGCGTCAAGAGCAAAGTTCTGTACTCTCATAAGCATCGAATGAGATTTCTGGACAGAATGCCGTCGACGCAATTCAATGAATTGATTGAATTAACCAACCAAAGTTAGCTTCCGTCATTATGTATTGGACAGAGGCAAAAGCTTCAATAACGGTATCATATAACTTTGTATCGGCTAAGTCCATCAGTTCGGGATAAGCGGACTCGAACCGCTGACATCTGCTGCAAGTAAATTACTTTTTTATTCCTTCCCTTTTAAATATTGAATAGGAAACAATTAATTAAGAAATCAAAAAGTTTTTTTTATAGAACAGACATATCAATATGTCTGGATTATATCTTTCGTTTCACTTCCAGTTCCTTATTTTGGGTTGCTAACTCAACTACAGAGTACTCGACTTTTAAGAGCGGTTAGAATCTTTTCTACATTTGGATGAAGTGAATACATTTAATGACTTTTTAGTAGTAGGATAAAATGATACTACCTCCTTTTTAAATTAGATGTCGTTTTGACTTTTTTGATTCATCCATTTTGCTACGTATCTAGACATATTTAATGTCTAGATACGTAGCAAAATGGATGAATCAAAAAAGTCAAAACGACATGTAATTTAAAAAGGAGGGAGTAATAGAAACAAGTACCGAAACATATTAATTCACTCGGCACTCGGGTCACGCCATATCTCTTTATATGGGTCCTATCTACTGTTGTTCTCAAAACTTGAAATTTTTGGATCAAAATGTGAATTTCATTCAAATGGACAAAAGTGAAAAAAAGAAGAAAGAAAATTTTATAAAACGAGACACAAAACACACCAAAACACACGTATACAAACAACACAACACAACAAGGAGTTTGTTTACAAAGCATATTCACCACACAACCACGAAAATACACCCACAACACCCCTCTAGATATATACGTATAGAGAGAGAAAGAGGGTGAGATGTAGAGAGAGAAAGGAAGAGAGAGATGCTCATGTCATATCTATACTAGTATTTATTAGTCACTATATATTATTCATTACTCATAACTCCTTCTCAGCATTTTCTTTGTCACCACCATTCCATTTTCTCTCCCCCAAAATCAAAATCCACCTTTCCATTTTCCTATTTCTCCTTTTCTCTCTAAAAGTCGATCGAACGGCCATGAGTGGCGCCGAAGAGGAATGGGTTCGAGCCGCCATGTCGGACGACGCGATGGTCGTGGACCTACTGGTGCGTCTCCACCACGCGCTGCCTCCTCCTCCTCCTCTGTTGCACGAGCGGGCCCCCCTACCCCTTCGGTGGACCGTCCGTCAGCGCCGCTCGAAATCCGCTTCGGCGAATAACAATCCGAAGAAACCGGCGCACAGCCACAGAGGCAGCCCCACCACGCCGCTCTCGTGGAGCGGCGCCACCTCCTTCAGCGGCCGCTCCGAGGATTCAGGCAGGCAGCCGACGCCCCCTAAACTCTCCGGCACATCGAGATCTAAGGTTTGTTCCTCGAACTCGCGTCGTCTCACAACATACTAATCACAGTACATATATCTATCTGTATACGAATCTATAGTAATTACTGTCCAAGGCTATTCTTAAGTTCCCATCGGCGGCGGCGGCCGTTACCTCATTTGGGCGTCCTTTTTAGTTTTCTCATCCTTCGTCTCGTCTATCGCATGTGAATTGACTAGAATATCCATGTGAAATCTGAAAATTTTCAACTGCCACGCCACTTGGTGGGTGAAGAACCAGATTCAGCCATTGGAGGCGACCTCCAAATCGACCCTTCTCCTTGTCAACCTTTTTCGCCGCGGTTTTCGTGTTTCCGAAACGGACAAATATACCCTCCCTTTCGCACTGTTTCAAAACCCAACCCACGGAGGTTTCGGTAATTTTACTCGTTCCGAAACCGGCACCGTATCTGTTGACCGAAATGCCCTCCACGTTTACCATTATTATTATTATTTTTTATTTTTGAAGGCATTAAAAAAAATGGTGACTTTGTTTCAACGCATATATACGGTCAGAAGGTCACACGAGACTGGNCTCCTCAACGCCTTTTTCAGCTGCTACACACACACCAGCCGAACCCCATTATTGTGCCTCCCCTTAATTGCCCCTGAAAATGACCAAAATCACCCTCCTCTGGTCAAAATTGGAAATGTCACAGCAATTTACGTGAATGGATAATATTGACTTTAGCTCGACGGCCTTCTTGTGAAGTTTTTGAGTGGATTTTGTTTATTTAGTGGAGGGGTAGTTTGGTCAATTGAGGAGGCGGTGGCGTGTGGTCGTGGCAAATAGGTCTGGCGATTTGGTTTGGTGGAGAGTTGCTAGTGGTTGTTCGCTTTTGTATGACACTTTAAATAAGGTTATCCTTTTCTTTTTTTAAAACAAAAATTATTATCATTTTATCGGTTATTCATAAATAAATCGTAAGGAGAGAGGGTGGAATTTGGTGGGGTGGGGAGCAGTTTACTGAACGTGCAACCTCATGTGTCTAAGTTGTGTGTCCCACGCCTAATAGTCACCATCTTCGAACCATCTGCTGCCATCTGTGCGCCACATATGAATATTGCACAACTTTTGTTTTACCTTTTTTTGTTCCTTTCCATTTTGGCCCTTTTGGCCACTCGAAGGCCTTACATTCCATGGGCTATATATACCAATTAGGACAAAAGAAAAGTCTTGAGGTGGACTGTAGCATTTTTGAATAATGTCTCAAAATATATATAAAAAGAAGTTCAATTTAGTGTAATATATTATGTTTTTCTGAATTCTGCTCACTGAGAAGCTGTAAAAGTTTATATATTTTTTTTAAAGTACTTTTAATGTAATGGTGAAAGGATTATGGCAGTAGTTTTTATGTATGACAGATTGTTATGGTAGGTAATTGTTTGTTGGTTATACTTGTTAGTTGTTAGATGTTCCTTCTCAAGAGATGTCGATTCCTATACAATTTAGCTCCATACACTTATGGGCTTTAGTACCATGTGTGCCTCTTAGTGTGTACTAAATATTTGTTTATTAGTGGATAAACTAAAATAGCATGTGGAGGAAGTGTGGATTTGAGGGTTCCTAGTTGGTGAGGGGTCAGCCTTGTGGGACCTTTTTCTTTGTCACCAAACTATTATGCTTTTAACTGATGAAAGTACCACTAAAATTCAACGGTTTCTGCTAAAGCCAGTAACGTTTTCTTGTTCTTTTATGCGGACCGTTCATCTGGTTGTAAGTTATCTGTAAAAATACAAAGTTTAGAGGTGGTGCTCCGTGCTCGTATAATCGATTTATTTTTGGTTGGGTAGTTAATTAAATTACACATCTCTGCTAAGTGCTAAACGACAAAGTATAAATGTTGTGTTTGTAAACGACAAATATTTTGTGCTGTGGTCATGTAGTTAATTCTAGCTAATTGGTAGTTCTCGCCTTCCTTATTGTGTTCGTATACTGTTAGATTCTTAACGGGAGCACATGATGATGCGTGTAAATCCTATTTATTTATTTATTTATTTATTTGTCCTGTCTATCATCGGAAATGTTAAATAATACGGTTTATTGAATTATAGGACTTTACATCTAGAATTTGGATATTTGTCAAAATGGCGTATCAATGGCGTAACCCTACTTTTTCTTGTTGCAGATCCTCGTTGATAGTGAGAAAACCAACTCCAAGAGGTCAAGAAAAAAGAAGGTGAACATATGTGGCGCCCATACTTTCTTCTGTTGGCTTCTTGGCTATTTAATGCCTATCATAATAAGCTCTGAATGTAAAGATATATTAGTTGGCATGAAAATGGCACATTGCACGATCTATTACTACATGAATGGCTTTCATAAGTGAAATCAAATTATACCATCTTTGGCATTATGCAGTGTACTGACTCATACCTACATATTTTGCATATATGTTCATTGTCTTAATTGATGTGCTCATTCTTCATTGTCATTCAGACCCTGGCAGAGCTCAAAAACGAGGAGAAATTGCTGTTGAATGAAAGACGTGATTTGAAAAGGGTATTGGACTTTTTCACCGCCTAGTGATTTTCACTTAAGTTGTCGCTGGTACTATTAGTATGTGGCATTACCAACAAACTCCCTTTTGTTTCTCAGGAAATGGCAATCTTACGTTTGTGTATGGAGACACAAAGGGCCACAAATGAAAATTTGAAGAGAATAAAGGTATCATTAAACTGACCTTCAGCCTTTTTCTTCTTTTCCCTTCTTTTCTGATGTACCTCATAACATTGAAACTGTAAATCAATAAGATTTTGCCCTTGGTGTGTGCTCTGCTCTACTTCCCTGAACTTTTTAAAAGAAATGTTCCTACACATGGCCAAAAAGATGAGATAATTGCATATGTGCTTACACATGTATGATAATGTTGACTTGGTAACTATGGTAGATATGAAATTGTTGACCACTAAAGCTGTAAGTTCCAGGCTCATTAGACTTGCTTCGTGCTGCTGCAGGAGTGTTATTTACATAAAATATCTGTAGCTTCCAAAATTACAAAAAAGCTCCTGACATTTCAATTTGTTCTTCGTCTATCCTTTTAAATGCAAAAGAACAGTTGAAACCCCCTTACGTGGGTGAAAATATTGCAGTAACTAACGAAAGGAAAATCCATTGAACTAATTTCATCTTTTGCATATGTTACAAAAAATTAATTCCCAACTTCCACACAGGTTGAATTGCAACCCTGTTTGGACAAACAACTGGAATCCACATTTGCATCAGAGGAATCAACTTCCGGTCAACTCCAAATGGAGGCAACTGCTCATCAAGTGCCAGCTGTCGTGGCCAGTGACATTGCACAAGAATCATTGACATCAAGTGCTGCATGCCTTGAGGCAAAAATGGATGCGAAATTCGTTCTTCCCGACTTGAATGTGCCGTTTGATGAGCCTGGCTGTGATGTTATTTTGCAGTGGTGACTCTTTTTTCGTGTTCGTCTAAAGGATTGAACAAAGTAATCATTAATGGACAAAACTATACTAAATAAGGGCTAACCCTTTTTTTTTTGCCCTTTTAGGATCATCTACTGTTGCAACTATATTATAGAACTCGGTTAACTCCCGATAGAATCGGAACAAACTGGTAGTAGTTAATGTACTTGCCAGAAACTAGAATCTGTTCTTTCTTTTCTTCTTGGTTTAGAACTTGGTGTTATTTTAGAGGTTTTTAGTACAGTAGATGCAGTAACATATGTTCCATTTTTAGTTCTGTTTTTTTGGGAAAAAAAAATATGTTGAAGGTTTAGGGTTCATGGCCATGATCTTGTGTTACATTTGAGGGAGTATTCGTTGGTAAACATTAGAAATTCCAGAAATGGAAATATGTGTTGTTTTCATAAGGTAATACTTTTGAAGGGCTATTCAGATTTGTTGTTTCTTCACGTGCCTTTGTTAGAATTGAAAGCTGTAACATTTAGGTACAGATCGAATCTCTTGCGGATTTGAAGTATCTGAATCGATTTAACTATTGACATTCTAATGAAATGGATCTGGGATAATTTCTTTCTCAGACATAATAATTTTGAAGATAAATTTAATATTAATGTTGCTTTTTGTGAACATTCAGTTTGATACTCTTGTCGTACTATACATATTTTCTTATGCTTTAATCATTGTAATCCTTTGGATTTCCATTGAACAAAGCAAATAGTATTTCTTAGGGTAAAATTTAAAATGTCTTATAAGTTGGTCAAAGTTAATTTTTTACTCCTATTAATGTAATTTATCAATTTAGTGAATTTATGTCTCTATTTTATCTACACCTTAGATAAAAACGCGATGTGTTTTGATGTGACAATTTTTTTATTTAACATGGCGTGATTATGGTTTATGTAACGAGATTAGAGAAGATGCGAAACTTATGATACTTTGCTACCAATTGTTGAACCTAAATCAGCATATTTCATTTTCAATTTTTAAACCTAAATCAACAAGTCGTAAAAACGTATATCTACATTTCTCCATTTCTCGACATTTGACATAATCAAAATTGTTTAGATAGTGAAGAGAAAAGTGATATCCTTCAAGGATAAGTCTAAATTAGTGAATGATATATCTTAATCCATGAAGGAGAAATCTCGATGTGAAGTGATGACGGAGAAATCTGAATCACCGAAGGAGAAATCTCAAGCGATGAAAAAAATCTTTCAATCTCAACCAGTGAAGCAGCAATCTGAAACATCAACGAAGGATAAATGTAAACGATCTTAGTTTGATCAAGAAAATTACTCTAGGAGTTGAAGTACCCAATTGCCAGATGAAATTGCGGCGGAAAGAGCTTGACTACCTTCCTACTCTTAGATATGGTTAGTATAATTTTTGAAATTAGGGTTTTGTTAGCATTTTTTTTTTTCTTTTTGGTTGTATTTTGTTAACATTATTGCTGCTAATCAACTCTCTTTTCCTTTTGGTTTTATAGGACTCCAAAGTTAGTTTTTCACAGTTGGTCAACATTATGGAGGTGTTTTTGACCAATGTCTCAATTATCGGGGGTCTAGAAGATGATATGGGATGTCATACCAGCTCACCCCAGACCTGAAAAACTAGGCCGACGGACCAGGTAGACTGGCGGATCGAGCTAAGAATCAAGTTAGAGGGATGGTGGCGTCATGTCGATGGTGATCTTCTGGTATCAAGGTTCGACTTGAATGTGGCGACAGGTCAATGGTGGTCTTCTGGAGTCAGTGTTTGACCTGAATGTGGAGGTGGTTGAAAAAAGTGGTGCCATAATAGGGGGAGCTCGAATATTGTGGTTGACTAAGAGTAGGCATGAGTTCAAAATTTCAATTTCAAATCTTTGAAGGGGAAGGTCGAAAAACTGGTGGGATGTCAATAGGTCAAGTACGCAGGTCGAGCCACAACAAATGGAGGGCAACAATGAAGAGCTGAGGATAACCAAACCTACTCTTGGATCGAGCTATCCTAGCTCGACTAGAGTGGGGAGACTATATGATATGGGATACTATACCGAGTCACGCAGACTTGAAAACCAGACAACCAAATTGGGCGGCCGGTTGATCGAGCTGAGGCTATTCAGTCGACCTGAGTGTGGCGTCAGGTCGATGGGGTCTTTGACAAGAGCAGATTGAACTTCGACTCAGCTGGCGGTTATTGGACGTGAAAGGACTCTGGTTGCAGGATCGACCTCAAAGGTGGTACATAAGCTGTGGGGGAGGTGTCTCTACCTGGTGACGTAGGGGTTTGGTCTTATGAGTAGACCGTCTAATAAGGAAGACCAAAGGATAAGAAGGAATTTTAGGGCAACAGGTAACCCAATCTTATAAACAAGAGTGTGATAGCTTCATTTAGACCCCAATCTCTACACTCTCTACTCTTATATTCCCTCTGCAACGTTATTGTTCTTCGACTTCTATATACTTTTTTAAGCATCGGAGGCTCTTCACTGAGAAACTCCCCCTTCGAATTTCGTGCAGGTGCGGAGGCCATCCAAGGTAGAAGAGGTTGCAGTTCTTTGTGTTATGCCGAGCAAAAATTCGAATGAAGTCCATTTCACTATTAATATTATATTAAATATATATATATATATATATTTAAAATAAATATATTAAATAATGTAATTTGTTTATTTGTTTAATATTATAATTTTTATTTTTATTAAATATGTATTAAAGTTTTCATAATATTTCTTTTTACATTATGTTATTTATTCTGAATAAATTTACGGGACAGCCAGGCGTCGGTTGCACACACAACGCCTACACAACGCCGATAATGCACCTACACGTCGCCCCACACCATCGCGAGATCGCCCAGGAGTCGCCCACACACTAGCTGGGAACCTCAATTCGCGAGGTGACAACGAAGCGCAGCTTGAGTGGGGAACGTACAATTCAGACTTTGGAGGACCTTTTGAGGTTGGTTGTACTTGATAAAGGTGTTACTTAGGAGAGGTCACTGCCGTTGGTTGAGTTAGCCTATAACAATAGTTATCAGGCATCGATTTAGATGTCACCGTACGAGGCATTGTACGGACAGAAGGTTAGAATCCAACAGGTCGTTGGGCAATTCCAGGAAGGTTTTGAGGTGAATGAGGATAGGATGCAGAAATATGTGGATGAGATGAAAAAGTTGCAGGGAGAGTTAAGTTCATTCGAGTTGAAGACGGATCTGAAGCACTTGAACCTCCGCGTCGTAACTTGAGGAGGGCTGAAGAGGGGCGTGGAAGGCGATAATGAGAGCTCCATTGTGATCCTTAATCAGACCCCCGCTGCACAGATATAAATAGACTGACAAATAACGTTTTTCTTCTTGAAATTGGATTTGAAAATTAATTTTGGACAAGTAAAATATACAAATGGGTGATCCGAACCGGGTTTATTTGATAGGTCCCATCAAAGGTATTTTATTTATTATTTATATTCATTTTTTTATTACTTTTTTCTATTTTAATTTTACTTTTATTATTGAATTATATTTATAATTTTAAATATACATTAATTACGAACTAAAAGTAAATATAATTATCAAATAAAAATTAATTATTATATATTATTTTTTAATTTAATATTTCATTTAATTTTGTTTTATTATATTATTTACTATTTACTATTTACTATATTTCGTATTTGAATAATAAATAATAAAATACATAAATATTAATATCGTAAATAATACATAATAAACAATAAAACATATAATATAGAATTCAATAAAACATATAATTAAAATTTAATATATTTATTTAATTAATAAATATTTCTTAATATATAAATAAAATTTAAATAAAATTAAATAAGGTAAATAAATTGATTGTAAAATTAAATAAAACAAGGTAATTAAATAATATAATATAACTTACTTATTTATTCAATTCACATATTTTAATTTTTTAATTATTACATATTTAATAAATAAATTATGTATAAGTTTTATGATTAAAAATAACAAAAATTGAGTTATTATTATTATCCTCTCTTAATATAATTTCAAAACGTGCTGAGCCTAAATGGCTGCCTTGCACGCTTCGGAAGCTTACTTGGCAGCTTTACATGCTTCGGCTTTTGTTTCGGATACATTCCACGAAATACCAAAATAAAAAATAAATAGGATTTTTTGCTTAATATTATAATAAAAAAGTTTGACGTAATTCACGAAATACCAAAATAAAAAATTTAGCTTTATATATTATTTTATTTACATAATTAATATAAACAATAAATTTTTTATATAGTTTAAATTAAAAAAACTACTATAATTTTACAAAAATAAATTGGACACATATATAGCCACTTGCATATTATATCTTTTCAATCCAACAATGGTAAATAAATTATATGCCATGTAAATCCTACAATTCCAAAATAAATAGGATTTTTTGCTTAATATTATAATAAAAATTATTATAATAAAAAATTTAGACATAAGTCACGAAATACAAAAATAAAAAATAAATAGGAGTTTTTGCTTAATATTATAATAGAAAATTTAGACGTAATTCACGAAATACCAAAATAAAAAATTTAGCTTTATATATTATTTTATTTATATAATATAATTAGTTCACGAAATACATTGAAATAGTTATAGAATATTACATGATCTTTCTAATATATTTTAAAGAGTTGAAATAAAAATAAAATAAATTTTGATGAACACCGTGGTAAATAAATTATTTAAATCGTTTTAGAATATCTATAAAAAGTACATTGAAATAATTATAGAATATTACATGATCTTTCTAATATATTTTAAAGAGTTGACATAGTTATACAGCATGTGTTTTTTCTATTATTTTATATTTTATATTTTTTTTTTCAATTAACCCGTGTAGTACACGAATGTCGTATTAGTTATTATTATTTTTGGATAAAACTATATTGATAGATATATAATTGAAATCAAGTGTTTAACATAAGATTGTAGTTGCCCCACTTGTTGTAAGAGGTCTAGGGTGCAAATTTTGATTTTGGTCATTTTCTTAGACTGATCATTTTTTTTATAATTACGCCACTTAACTGTCATGTCAGCAAAGTAAAAGAAAAAATTAAATGAAATTACACGTAGACAGGGCCAATGAGCGCGCCGATAACATTGACCTGCTACAGACAGTCAAATAACCAAAAAAATAATTATTATTTTTTTCAATTACATGACCATTTTGGTCCTTTAAAAAGTGGACCATTTATGATCAAAAGCTTTACACAGACGACTGAATGGCGGTCATGCTTAATTGAGGCCCGAACAGAGATAATTAGGCCAAGATAATGATTTTAATAATGGCACAGTGCGATATCTAACAAACAACAAATGAACAGCTTTTAAAAGCTAGATATCAGACATGAACTCAAGACTAGATAGATAGATACATAAGTTTCAAAAACAGTGCATGAAATCAGATTTCAATAGCAAATCCTGAAGTTGAAATGTTCAATTCTTACACCAAATCCTGAAGTTGATTTGGTAAGGCAAATACCCATTACACCAAATCCTGAAGTTGATTTGGTACGACAAATGCCTATTGCACCAAATCCTGAAGTTGATTTGGTACGGCCAAATATCCTGGTAAGGTAGTCGATATGACGCCATTTACCACACTCATCATATATTTACAGATTCATACATACATTCATCACATACCTGCATCTTGACATCAACAAACAAGCCAAACACTTGAAAGTGAATGGTTCGGCCCAAAGTGCCTCAAGTCGGTTTTTAACCGACGTTCTGAAAAAAAAGGGCCCAAAGTGCCTCAAATCGGTTTTTTAATTGACGTTCTGAAAAAAGGCCGAAAGTGCCTTAAGTCGGACTAAAAAACTGACTAAAAATGAAATTAAAATTAACCAAACCTCTATAGCGGTTTTGGTCGGCCAAGATGCCTTAAAACTAAAAAGGCCAAACAGAGCCTACCATAAAAAATGCATAGAAAAAGAGTCGTTACGAAATAATCGCATAAATCACGAAAAACATTCGCAGAGGCCCGAGCGCCCTCCGTATCGATCAACAGAACCGTTACTTCTCCTATCCGAAATTTGACTCATTCAACGAGCATTATGCCAAATAACGGGTTCCAAATTACTCGACTAGGCCTCTCAGGCCCCATTCTGTATTAATTCCAAAAAATTGTCCATTTTACCGACTTAGCTCATCAAAGAGCATAAAGCGTAAATGCCACGCCAAATGCCAAGCCAAAGCATGAAAACGATCGACAAAACATCCAAGGTCCCAAAGTACCCGGCCAACATCCATGCATCATTTATCGCAGCCAAAATTCATTTTACGTATGACTTCAGAACAGTTCTATTCAGAACATGTCCTAAAGTCAGGGGCCTCTACGTTGACATCCAATTTTAGCCTAGCCTATTAAAATATTACACGTGGATATATGTCTTAAATAAATATAAATATAGCAGGTTCTCTGAGCTGATTATTTAATATCGACCGAGTTCCCAAGTGCCCAGATCATCCGTACTCGAGCCGGGTAGAATTAATATTATCAGCCCGACCAGAATATCGAGAAGATTCAAGTTCGACAGACACAATAATTGCCGATAAAGTAGACGTCATTCGAAGCCGTCAAGTGTCACGATCGGGCCCCACAACGTCATATCACATGAAATACTAATGTTTCCTATTTACCTATTTTTTTAGGTCCATTTGTAAGCCCACATCCCATTTGTAAGCCAACTTGTAAAGGGGGGGAAGTATATGTATGGGGATAAGGGAGAGAGAAAGGGGAGGATTGATGGGGACGGCTCATTCATCTTCTTTATTCATTGAACTTCTTAAAAACAGCAATGATAGAGAAAAGCTCAAAAGAATTCTCCATCTTCAATATATCTTCAATATACATGTAATCAATGGAACACCGATTATTCACGGAATAGGGGTGTTCATTTTAGTTGATCAAATCCGTTTATCAACAATTATAATAAAAAATTTTGACGTAATTCACGAAATACCAAAATAAAAAATTTAATTTTATATATTATTTTATTTATATAATATAATTAATTCACGAAATACATTGAAATAGTTATAGAATATTACATGATCTTTCTAATATATTTTAAAGAGTTGAAATAGTTATACAATATGTGTTTTTTCTATTATTTTATATTTTTTTTCCAAACAACCCGTGTAGTACATGAATGTCGTATTAGTTATTATTATTTTTGGATAAAACTATATTGATAGATATATAATTGAAATCAAGGGTTTAACATAAGATTGTAGTTGCCCCACTTGTTGTAAGAGGTCTAGGGTGCAAATTTTGATTTTGGTCATTTTCTTAGACTGGTCATTTTTTTTTATAATTACGCCACTTAACTGCCATGTCAGCAAAGTAAAAGAAAAAATTAAATAAAATTACACGTAGACAGGGCCAATGAGCGCGCTGATAACATTGACCTGCTACAGACAGTCGAATAACCAAAAAAATAATTATTATTTTTTTCAATTACAAGTCCATTTTGGTCCTTTAAAAAGTGGACCATTTATGATCAAAAGCTTTACACAGACGACTGAATGGCGCTCATGCTTAATTGAGGCCCGAACAGAGATAATTAGGCCAAGATAATGATTTTAATAATGGCACAGTGCGATATCCTAACAAACAACAAATGAACAGCTTTTAAAAGCTAGATATCAGACATGAACTCAAGACTAGATAGATAGATACATAAGTTTCAAAAACAGTGCATGAAATCTGATTTCAATACAGGAATCCACAAAACCCGTTACGGCCCCAGAAACTGTGCAAAAGTAAAAACACACAATTCAATGCAAAAAAGCAACCCACAATTGTTTGATTCAATATATTGTACTAATCTTCCAAATACCATTTCACATCAAACTAAGACCCAATTACACACTCTCAGTCGCAGTTACATAGTATAATATAAACATCTGAATATGCTTATATGTAGCCGTTCAAGATGCACCTTAATTAAGCAACAGAATTGAAAGAAAGCCCGCAAATTAAAATTCACCACCATATATATAATATTCAAACACAGCAATATTCAACTTAACATTTTGTCATTAATCATACACACAGACTAAACAAGCTAACATTTTGTCATTAATCACACACACGGACTAAACAAGCGAAGGCCCGACAGCATATTACCTTGCATGCATGCAAAACCCGAACAACACGAAGGCCAGACACGAGCAAACCCTAAATTACCATAACTACAAAATAGCTTTTTTCTTTTTTTCAACATAAACCCAGGCTGATTAATTAACTTTATATATATATAGAAATATTCTACTTGAATTAATATACTAATTAATTATAGTATTATACCCAGCCCTTGCATTGTCGCTAGAACCCCCGTTGACCATCAATCCAAGCTCCAAACTAAGACCCGTTTTCCTCTCTCCGGCAACCGGATCCGACCCGAACAGCTGCTCCGCCGACGTCACCACCAGCTTCCTCCCCCTGCCGGAGCACCCATCTCCGCCGCCGCCTTTCCTCTTCCTCTTCCGCTCGGAATTTGACGAGGACGAGGAGGAGGGCACCGGCAGCACGGACGGCACCTGGAAGTTGGTCCGCGCCTTCGCCCCTCTCAGCCGCCTCGCCGCCGCGTCGTACGCACGCGCCGCCTCCTCCGCCGTGTCGAACGTCCCCAGCCAGTGCCGACACCGCCCTATCCGGTCCCTTATCTCCGCCGACCACCGTCCCCACGGCCTCTTCCGCACTCCCCGGTAGCTCCTCCTCGCGCCGCCGCCGCCCTCCACGCCTTCCTCCGGCGGCCGCGAACCCTTTCCCGCCCGGTCACCGAAGAGGACGCGCTCGCCGACGACGGCGGCGATGCCCTCTAGAACGGGAGGAGAGTTCTCGCCGTCGCCGGGAAATTCCGGCGGCCCCTGAACGTGATTTTGGACCTTTGGAGGGTCATTGAAAGGGATCGGAACCGGAGAGAAGGACTGGGGAAAATAGAAGCAGTTAGGGTTTGGGGGCCAATTTTGAAGTTCCAGTTCAGGAAAGAAAGGGACGTTTGCTAGGATTTGGTGATTGCTCAACTTCATCTTTTTGGGGTGTGTGGTATTATTTTTTTTTCTTCTTGTGTATGTATTTATGGGAACTCAAACTAGAATAATTGAGGGCTTTCTAGGTAGCAACAAATTTTTTGCATCCTTATCTATGAAATATAAAAATGTTTTAATTTTAGTTAGTACACACAAGAAAAGTAGTATTATTTATTAATTTGTTTGTGGCAAGAAAGCTATTTTTAGCTTGAAGAGGTGAGGAAAGGAAGTGTATATGGAGAGACAAAATGGACAAAATGTTGATTGGTAGTAACGAGAAGCAAAACTACAAGTTCCCACAATTTATAGTCAGTGGAAAATGATTGTTTTCCATAGCATTTAAAATTGGAAGAAGAGAGTAATAGGTAGGTTGAGGATATTAGAGATTTTATTTAGAAAGTGGAAAGATATTCCTGTCAATTCGGACAAGACCACTATCCGTCTTTCGGCATTTAACTCGAGCCTTTGCTTGACAGACGGGATATGCTCCGAACACCACCCTTGATTTACCTACACAGTTTTTACAATTTCCAATCATATCTATTAGTAATTAATGTCTAATTTTTAAGATCAAGTTACATTAATTGAATTTGTTAAGTTGTGTTGTAAATATTCAATGTTCAGTCACAAATATTGAATATCCAAATGGCATTATTGAGGATGTATTAATTAAGCTTGGGACTACTGTGGTGCTGAAGGATTTTGTTGTCCTTAATGTTGGTGAGATTTCGGAAAATGGGGAACGAGCACACTATTTTGCTAGGCCGACCATTCATGGAGAGGTAAAGTCCTAATGCTCGTTCGTGGCCGTTATCAACAAAGAGGTAAAAGTGCTAATTCAAATTTGAGAGGTGCCTCATCCATTGCCCACATTGTTTGTACCCGATGTAGAGGAAACCGCGCAGCCCATTGCCGAGATAGCATGTACGTACCCGCGGTCTGGCGAACACACCTGCGACCTCGCGAGTGTTGCATATCGCCGAGAGCTAAGAGGACTCGCGGGTTGGCGAACAGCCTGCAAGCTCGCGAGTGTGCCTGTCACTTGCCAGTGTGTACGCAGTCACCGACGCGTGCCCGTTGCCGATAGCCCCACGCCTGTAGTAGACACACGTCACCCGCCAGCCAACTACCTCGCGAGTGCGTGCCTCGCTTGGCCTTCCCAACTCGCGCACCAACGGATAATTTGGCTATCTCACGAGTGTGTTTTTAATGTTGTGTGCATGTTTAGTGTGTGTTTTGGGTTGTTGGTATAAATACATTTTGACCATTTGCATTTGGGTATCTAGCCTTCATTTTCTCATTTTCTAGTATTGAAAATTGTCCCTTTTCAGTTTTTCTCTCTATATTTTATGTTTGGGAGCTTCAGGATTCATGTTTTTAGTGTTACCATTTTTTGTTAAAGGTTTGAGCTTTTCGCTTTGATTTGCCCGAGCACATAATTGAAAAGTAAGTACTTAATTAGGACTTATTATTTCGAAATTGCTCCATTTTTTTTCTTACTACATAGTAATGGCGTCTTGGTCGGAATTCATGTAGAAAAACTCGGTTTTTGTTAAAGTTCTTATCTTTTCTTTTATTTTGATTTTTAGTATGATTAGTTGGTTAAATCTTGAATCTTTTTCAAGTAAAAATAGAGACTTTGTTGAAAGGTCGATTATTTCGTAATTGATTATTCCACTTTAGCTTCTAGTTATGTTAGATTTAGTTTGTTTTCTCTTCGTTTTTCTTTTTACTTGAGCGTTGAAGACTCCGTTATTAATAAAGTTAAATCAGTAGTTAAAGTTTACATCTTTATTTAATTGGTCTTGTTTTTTAGAAAAATGCAAATTTTTAGTCTCATGGGATTGAACATATTACAACTTTGGTTGCACAAATTACGAGTACAAATCACTTAAAAACACATANCAAAAAAAAAAAAAAAACACTAAACAATTACAAGGCTAGTGTGTTTGATGCCTTAGATTTCATGTTGAGTTGGGTAATGGTTGAGTGAGCCTTTGGTTTAAAGTTTAACACTGTGTTTGGTTCGGGGGAAGTAGAGAGGACAGGTAGGGAGGGGAGGGAATATTTTTATTATCCATCGTTTGGTTCAACTTTTGGCAAGGAAGGGGAGTAGAATTTTCCCCTCCATTCTCCCAACCGAGGGAAAAACGCTCCAATTTTGGGGGGATTTGGAGGAGAAGTTAAATCTTACAATTTTTTGTACTAATATGCCCTTATCAATTCATTATAATTACAAAATTACTTAATATAAATAAAACATAAATAAGGATATATTTGTCCATGTAATTTTATTTTCCCTTCCCCTTTGTTTTTTAACCAAATAAGGTTGGTTAATCATTTTCTTTCACCTCTCCTTCTACAAAATCTCTCCAAACAAGTTAAAATTACATTATCTCCCTTCCCCTCCCCTTCCTTCCCTCCCCTCCTTTGAATCAAACATAGCCTAAACTCGACTATAACCTCCAAATAATCCCTTAGCTATATATATATATATATATATATTGAAACACAATTCGTGCACTGAGAATTTTTCAAAGTCCGACAATATATTATAGACGGGTGTGAGGAAAAAAAAAATTCTGCATACTAAACAAATGATCTTGTATTATTATTTGAGAAAGAAAAAAATCGTAACTTTATTTCTTCATAAATCAAAAACTATATTCATCAAAATGTCACCGTTGCGTCAAATTTATCAAAATGGAAAATAAAAGGGAACAGAATTTAGACCTGCAAAAATGCAATCTGTAATTTTTTGCATAGCTATGAAGTACAAAGTACGAACCCTGACTTTTAACCAGAGAGAGGAAGTTTGGGTGTTGTCAGGCGCACGCAGGTAACCGTGTGTTTCCCCTTGAAATCCACCGTGTAAAATGGAGGTTTTAATTTATATATAATAGGCTGAGACAATTACGTGATCAAGGGTTGAGATGATCACATCAGTCAAGATCAAGGGGTTTGTAGAGTTACATTAATGGTGGGGGTCGTAGATTAGTAACTATAAAACCCACTTTTTAACAGTGGTTTGATATGGAAAGTGGGTTAACTCTGTAAATCTTATGGGGTGCAGTGAAAGGGACCTTTTGATTGTTAACTTTGCTTGTAGTTTCTATTTCTTGTTGGGAACCCAAATTTCTCTCACTAGAATCTTTTTTCTTTTAAATATACTATTAATTCATCCTTCATTTAGTAAAGGAAAGTAAATATACATAACATTTTCAAGAATATGAAAATGATGGTGTAATTAAATCTGGAAGTTGTGTCTATCTTTACAATATTAGTAAGTATTAATCATCTTGTGCATGTGCACAAATGTACATTAAATATTATAACTAATATGTGCGAATTAAATATTAAAATTCAAGATAATGGACATATCACATTTTCAAGATTTGATCATTAGTAAAAATAAAATAATACAAATATAAATTATTTAAGTATATATGAATCATTATATTGATTGAAAAAAGTTTATGGGTAATGTAATTTTTATAATTTGGAGGGATCATTGTCAAATAATTTAGTTGAAAAAGTATTATTAAAATTATTATAATCAAGTATTATTATTATAGCAATAATTGTTTATAAGATTTTAAAGTGGTTTGACTATGCTATTAAAACTATTTTAGCTAATTTTTTAAAAAATAATTATATTGATTTTAGAATAAATAGGTTGAAAAAAAAATTCAATAGAATTGTTTATACTTATGTAATTTGTATTTAGTGTGAATTATTATTAGTGGTATTATCATTAACTATTATATAATATAGTAAAAAAATATATGATTAAACTTAATGGGATGTATTAATGTAAAAGGTAAAACAAAGTATTGATGATAAAATTTTGTAACTAAAAATAGAAGAAACTAAATAATTTTATTAAATGTTTTGCCAACAAGGCAAGAAGTATATATATAGATTAAGTAGTGCTGCAGCCTGCGGGTATTATACAAACGTTAATTGAAAATATATACTTAAAAATGATTAATAAAATGAAGTTTTATTTAAATTTTTAATACTTTGAAAATAATTATTTTGTTATTATTATTTAAAATTACACTCAATATCTACAAGATTTGCTCGTCATATTTTATAAAATTTACTAACTCCTCTTATGATATACTTGATAGATATATTTAAAATAGCTTTATTATTATTATCCAATTATTATATTAGATAACTTAATTTTTATTTATTAAGGTAGACCTAATTTTTTTATATGTGCAATATGAATATTAAATAAAAAATTGTCAAATGATAATTAATTAAATTTATCATATACAAAAAATTGAACAAACAAAAAACATACTCTCTCCTATTTTTAATAAGTGTCATTTTAAGAAGTTGCACAATAATTAAGAATATTTTTTGTATCAATAATAACCCTCATTAATGAAGATATAGATGAATTTTTTAGAAAAGATGAAGATTGAATATGAAAAGACGTAGTGTAGTTATTAGCTAAATGAAGTTAATAATGAAAAAATATGTACAAAAGATCTAAAACATCATTTATTGTCATTTATTTGGTTAATGGTTGATAAAAATAAAATGTCATTTGAAAAAAATAGGAGATAGTATTAATTTTCAAAATTGCGTAATAGATTTGCAAGATTAATTTCAATGGATATTTCAATATTATACATTTTGTTTAAAAATTTCAACCAAAAATTTAACGAAAATATTATGTTGGATTTTTTTTTTCTTTTTCCATTGGATTTTAATGGTTTTAACAACAATATTTTCACTGCTTGAAATTACGGGCAGGAAAAAAAATTCTAACAAAAATTTCGACAATAAAAAATTGAAATATTTTAGTGTTGCATGCTCTTCGTTTAAAAGTTAATTTACTAACACTAAAGTTCAAAAAGAAAAAGGAAAATTAATTTTGTTCAATAGTCAATTACAAGTAATTTAGCATACTTGTGTAAGAAAAGAGAGAATAGATTCATCAACCAATTAACAAGAAAGCCATATTCAAAGTCCAAAGACTCCAA